GCCTTGCCTTGCCTTGCCATCGTTCGGTGTCACTCGCCTAGCTGACCGAGTGAAGGCGAGCGCTAACGTGTTCGTTTGACGTGGCTTGTCACAAGTCGCAGTCGGTCGTGACTATTTTTCTCACTTCGTCTCACTTCGGAGAAGTGTTGATTTTTCTGTACGTAGGCGCTTTCTGGCCAATAGTAGCCAATTGACATTGTATAATCAGACATTTGCATGCTATCTAATATACGCGAAACATGTTTATACTAACACTGTCTCTTGGTACATCTCCTGTTATACCATGTTTTAAGCAAATAAACGTATGATAATAATATTATTGTTGATAATATTACTACTTTCATTTATACCCAAAATTAAATGGAAGTATTAAAAATTCACTTAAATCAGTCACTGATATTAATTCTATACCAATGCATAAATACAAAAAAGCTTACACTATTTGGAATCTGTTTAAAAATTTCTCTATGAAAATATGAATCTTGAGGTTGGAAATGTATAGGAGTTATATTTCAGTTCTCTCTTTTTTATATACTCTCAAATTACATTTTTTCTGTGCAAATTCATTTTTCGTAATATTTGAGTATTTGTAAACGCAAAACAATAAATTCAAAATTGCATGTGACAATCCCGGATATTCCCATATAACCTAAAATATTCCCAAATGGAATATTGATCTACTTTAATTAAATGTTTGCATGTCGATAATGACTTATAGATAGATTATGGCACGACACTAACGAAATCCGCCATTTGTTCGTTCAATTTTTGTTTAGGTATGCACCGTATTCCGTAGTTAGGGCACCTCTTTTCTTTTATTTTTTTTCCATCCTCTAAGGGAATGGCACAGAAGTATCAATTTCGCCTCGCTGCGCGAGAAGGCACGGGCGGTTGCTGGAATGCTCAAGCACTCGCGGGAATGCTCGAGTATTCGCGAGCTTTCTCGCGACGGCGCGTTGAAGTAGTAGTATTTCGCTTACTTTACTGCACCTGCATTCACGCCACTTCCCGCGGGATCGCCAGGCGTAGCAGACGGCAGAGCTGCGAAATTCTCGCAAATGTGTGAGCATTCTCGAGCATGCGCGAGAATTCCGCGGAAGATGCTCGACGTGATTTTTGGCTCGTATCTAGTTTGTACGTTCCACAATTGACCATAAAGTTCCAAAAATTCGCTTTCATTCCGTTCCGCCGCAATATAAATTGAGCCTTGTCCAATTTAAAAAATTCGACTGTGGTCATGCTGAAACGCCTGCAGATTTTATTGAATACGGTGAAATTATAAGCATAGCCATAGATTTTCGTATACCTGGGCTATAGTAATAATAATAATAATAACGTGACAGAGAACTAAACCAATTGCCTAGTCTTAAACTAGAGAGTTCCCTGTACTATGTTACCAAAGCAACACAATTCACTCGGACCACCCAGACCAGAACCAATTTAGAAAAGTTCATTTCCCAAATTGGTCGTACCGGGAACCGAATCTGGGACTTCCGCATGCAACGCCCACAGTGCAAACCGCTGGCCACCGATATCATCACAAAAGTGGTACAGCATAGTATTCTCAACAGTTTATTTTTTATTTTTCCTTCAATTTACCTTTTTCTGAATTAGAAACAGAAGAGCCTTTCTACCTTTTGCGATCAAATAATATAGATTCCCTCTTTTCAAAATTTCGTTCTTATGCAACTTTATCATCATCATTTTAACTGATTGTCAATTGCACGATGAAAATGTTAAAAGTGTAAACCCAAAGTACATGAACAACAAATACCCATGTAGGGTTAAAAAATTCTGAGCTTTTTTTTTCAGGGTTGGACAGTAAAATATATGAAGTAAATTTCAGTAAAACACACTTTCATGATAAGACATTTTATTTAATAGTTTCATTAAAATATTGTTCACAGATGTTCGCAATGTGTTCTTCAGAAATATTAAAAACAATAATTTACTACAAATTACGTAATTCACTTTCAGTTACATTTAGTGTTGTGCGTTCCACATCGAATTTATTAAATTAACAAAGTTAACAAGAACTTAAGAGCTAATAATCTCAAAAATGGTGTTCTTTTCTTTTAAGCACAATACAAACATTACATACATAAAATTGATGGCTTCATTTTCAAAATATGCAACTATGCACCTTGTGGGCAGCAGCGTTCCCTGTGTAATTTAATTGCTACGTTAAGGTTCATACAAGCAGTAGGCTAGGACATCGAGTATATAACCAGAAATAAAGTCAGAAAAATCACAAATTAGAAAGCTGAGTACAGCGCCAACAACTGACCTGTAACGTCTCCGTATATTCCAAAAATATTCTGTATTTATTTATTGTAATAAAGATAACATCTCTGACTATGGTGGGCTGTTCCATTCGATGGTATGGGAAAAACAGCATATCTAATTACAAAACAAACGGAATCACAATTTTCGTCCGTTACAGCAAAGCTCATGTTCAACTGGTCGATTTGAAGTGAAACAATTGACGACACCTCACCGTCATTTGTTTCACCGTTGGCCAATCGGAGCGCAGTTGTCACCGTAATGATTCGGCAGAATAGTTTTCAAACAAGTTAAATGACATTTCGTCTCTATTTCTGGTTATATACTCGATGGGCTAGCACAATAGGTCTTGGGGTGCGCGAAAGGAGTCTCTGTATTCATGTTCTCCGGCGCACCCGGCGCAACAATCCACGAGTATGTTACGACTATTGGCAAATCCTTTCATTACGAAGGCAAACATATCCCACACTTCAGCATGGCGGCTAATACTAGTGACGTGGATTGCGGCAATCCTTCTGGGTCACAATGATATAGTGTATGCCATCGACACGACAAGAAAGAAAAACGTCGCAAAGAACCACACCAATTAAAGGACGCATGATGCGGATGAAGCTTCATACTGTACATTGTCGTTTGATATGGCCGAGTATTACTTAATTAACATTTATTGTTTCGGACGAATGTCAGACGATGAACGAAAGTAGACCGTCTGTCTTTAACATTTATAATCATGCTAGTCATATCTGCTTGCTAGAGGTATCTGTACGTATCTACGGGTACACTTAACCGCCTGCTACTATTATGTACCTTTTTGTTGTAAAGACATGCTGGTTACCTTACATCAGCCTGCCGTTGGCATGTACTATCACCAAAACTGAAGACTTCCCTGTTTTAAAGTATTTTGTTTGCAAGTAAAGATTGAAGCTTACCCGGTTCCTTATTTAAATGTCCTTTTTTTTTAAAAAAAACCTCGTGTATAATAAAAATACGGTTGAGTCTTTGGTTGACAAGAACAACCCTAAGGTTGTAACGCAACATGCCAGCCAAGCGTGAAGATTGTGGCATATCATTGTATTCTAGAGATATGGAGTCTAGTAATGAGCTGTAATATACATGGATGTGGAATAAAAGTCATTAGAATAGTTTTCAAACGAACTGAATTATGTGGCTCCAATTGCCGGGGTTTTGAAATAACAATTATAGGGTAGTTCAACTGCTTATAAAGTTGATTTTATCGAAAATCACGATGGGTTACTACCATTATGTTCAATTAGTTTGTGAAATTACCCCACTTGTTTGATATATATATAAAAGGACTTTCGCGCTCTGCACGCAGACGACTGATAGGAAATCGCACAAGACAGGGCGCGCTGGCGCCAACTCGTATCGGAGACCAAGTTCGAGTCGCTGAGCCAAAGGAGTAAGTTTGTTACATTATTAATACAACAGGACAGGGCTCCAATCTGCTTCTATATGCCAAACCAGGGTCACCCCTCTACCAACGGAGACACTATATCTTACGAATTTCTTTATGTGTTTCGTACGGATGTTTGTTTTTTTAACGGCTTTTTTGCTTTAGCGCCCTACCTGTAAGAAATCTATACAAGTTTTTCTTCATATTGTTTTTCTTCATATTGTATATCGACGTAAGCGTTTATAATGCTTATTAAGAGCGAAACTTAATTACAATATCTGTAAAGTTTCAATTAGTAAAAATAACTCGCAAGTCCGATCTGTGCAAACATTTCTTGAATTTAAACAAAGGTGGATCGAACTACAATTCATATTGAAACTAGATTAACAAATACTTTAAAAGCATATTACGTGCAGCTAGCATCATACAAGCAAAAAGACTCTAACACACGAACACCCATACGTATGCATAAAAGAATTGAACACCAATACCTATTTAAATTAGGAGATTTCCAAGTCCACAAACTTCCGCACTTCCCTTGTACACGTAACAAGTGCATGTAACGTCAAAGTTCAACTAAACCTGACTGTACTGACTAATCAAAGAAATTACCAATTAAAAACCAATCTGCCTGTGCAAGTTGGTGAAAGTGCATGGAGCGTTACTCTTAGCTGGTCGTTGTGTTGAGTATACCAAGAGCCAGGAACGGATGATCTTTCACGTCATACATACTCTTTCCATACAGGTTGTTCTATAAAATTACTTACAATAATACGTACTAGTCTTTAATATAAAAATATCAGCTGCTAAAATTTAGTCTAAAATTTTTAACAACGCCGTAAAAATTCTAGAAAAAAACTTTCTATTTTTTGTACAGATCTTGTTTTTGATTTATCTAGTAATCTCATAGGTCACTTAATCAAAATTATCATTATATTTAAAATTAAAGTAAAACGATTCACAAAATTAATTAACTACAGCTAATTGGTTAAATCAAACGACGTATAAAATTCGTCAAAAAATGTAAGGCACTGAAAATTCCCTTGTTCAAACATTTGTTCTGTACATAATGTACACGACCCTTAATAATACAATATAGCATTTTTATGTAAAACGCTTCTTTATAAAATATTGTACTTAATTAAATTGTGGAAGACTTTAGAAACATTTTAGAAACAATATTTTTTATATTTACAATAAAATTTGTGCTGTCTTTTTTTACCCCAAAGCTCTAACGCTAATGTACTTCAAAAAAAAATGTTAGTCGACTTAAAATTTAGAATATTTAAAAATTAATCAGTCTCTATTAGAGATTTGTTTTCGTGTTTTACAACCATTTTGCACCATCAAAGTTAGTCAGAAATGTAAAAAAATCTTAAGATTAATTGACATTGTAAGTTAACACTAATTAGTCTATCATACAAGTTAACAGATCTAAATTGAACACAGTATAAAAAAAAACTACTGAATCATTTGGAGGTATTGATTTTCTTCATAAAACGAAGACAGAGAAGTCTGGAGATCGTTCACAACCATGTTGTCGCCACCTTGCAAAGGATGTGTACTACTGGATACCATTTCAGAACTTTTCCAATTCTCGCAATTCTCAACATACTCTAATGTTCTTTGATACGTCTCCTGTCGCATATTATTCGAATTCTGATTCTTCTTTCTGCCATTTGTTGCTTCTATTTGCGACTGTGAAATATCCCAAACTTGGACATCAGCTTGCTGATTACTTCTCAAACTGTTCATACTACAATCCGTCTGTTGGTCATTCTTTATTTGATTACAGTTAAGGGACAATCTCGTTCCATTGACAGGTTTTTGACTCCCCGTTGACATATTCACGGAATTCTGAACCGATTTCTGCATGTTGTGCTTGTTGAACTGATGCCCTGGATAATCCCATTGGTTGTATGGTCGTTGATGGTTGAAATACTGATTATTGTTCATCATAGCCTGATTGTACTGGTGGTTGTTCTTCGGTGGTGGAGGACCCATGACATTAGTAGCGTTCACAGCTGAGTTATAGGGTGGAGGTTGAGGGTACTGAACATTTTGGTTGTATTGAACGTTTTGCAATGGGGGGTTTGGTTCGCAATAGCTATTCATAACTCCTCGGCCCATATTACCACTGTTATCCACACTCATCACAGAAGATCTTGACATTTGCAATGCATGCATCTGACTTTGGGAATAGTTAACCGGATTTTGAGGATAACTCATATGATTATAAGGGATATTTTGGCTTTGCATTACTGGCATTTGATTTTGATTAAACTGTTGTACCATTTGGTATTGCTGCATGTTTGGAGTTCTCGTCATGTTCTGATTTTGAGGATATGGTGGAACTTGATTGAAGTTCTGATTTTGATACTGATTAGGACCGTTGTTGAAGTTCTTATTTGGCAGGTTAGGATTTTGACGGTTGTTCATGTAATTTGAAGCCATCGGCGGCATTGGACCTTGTTGATTCATATTTGGTACTATTTGAGGTTGCTGAGCCATATTCACTTGCATAGGTTGCTGGTTCATGTTGATCATTATATTCTGGTTTTGATTTGCCACTGGAGAGTTCATTGTCATGTTAGACATGTTCTGAATCATTGGACTTGTCATGCCTTGAGCCATTGGGCTTTGCAAACCAGGATGCATAGGACTTGGTATACCGTGGCTGATGGGACTCGCTACGTTTTGCGTCATAGGGCTAGCCATGTTCACCAAAGGGCTAGCCATGTTCTGAGACATTGGACTGCCTATGTTATTGTGTCGTGGGCTCATGATCATCTGATTCGACATTTGTGGACTCATTAAACCTTGCATGCTTTGAGGACTCATGGCGTTATGTTGAGGAGACATAACACTCAAGACAGATTGTGGACTCATGACGTTGTATACACTTGGTGGACTCATGACACTATGATGCATATTGTGCGGACTCATGACACTTTGCGGGCTCATGGTACTGTGAGGGTGACTTTGAGGACTCATCAAACTATGCGCCATGTTTTGGGGACTCATAACCATAGTTTTTGGGCTCATCGCGGGATTTTGTTTCTGAGGTAATGGGTTATTTACTCTCAGTCTGTTTGACTGCTCAGTTTGATTCGCTGCCATGGTTTGTAAAGATTGTAGCGGATTATTAACTGGGGCATTCGAAGGTGGTCTTGAAAATTCTTTTTCACAGGGTTCTGTGGTTACTTCAGGAATGACTTGCTCTTGTAGTGGAGGATTCTTGTCATCGGGAGATTTAGCAGCCAACAAGGAACCGCTGTTACCCGACATACTAACGTCTAATGATCTTAAATCGACTGGAATATCACTTATATTGAGATCACTTCCTATGGCACCTAAGTTTTTGAGTAGAGAATCGTCACTGGTCGCTACGTCACTGATTTTGTCATTTGAATTGTTCGTGTTCGGTATTTCACTGGTGTCTTTGGTTGCACTGTCTTTCTTGGTCTCAGGCTCGTTGGTGGAGTCCGTCTTGCCTGGTGCTACCGTTTCGGTTCCCAATATTGATTGGTTAAGATATTGCATCATTTCGTCTGGTATTACCAGTTTGTTCTCCACCATTTCACCTTCTGCGACCTGTGAAAAAGAAAATAATAATATTGAAAATACATTACGATTAATGTTTTTTACATATTTATTCCATAGTTATGGCGTACACTAAGCATGTAATACATTGAAAGATATAAGGATGATGTAAGCGAAATCTAACCAGGTGTGATACCGACCTGTTCCAGATTAACCTCCTGGTTCGGGTGGTGGACCTGAGCAGTGGTGATTACCACAGTGTTGGTTGAGTTGGAACGAGATTCTTTGTAGGTCACTGTTTCGTGGTCGTCCTCTGTCTTGAACGGGAAAGGAGCATCACCCTGTAAATAAAATTAAGTTCATAAGTACATGACAAATTGGGAAATGTAAAGTAAGAAATTTATATATTTTTGTACATTATATTATAAAAGAAATAAGGAATGTCATCAATCGATCTAATTTGATATTGATTAAACTTCAGATAGTTTGTCCCCTAAATAATAACAAAACATTCAATTGCAGATCGAACACACTTTGTGTCAACTTAAAAGTAATTACTGAGCTTTAACTTTAAGCTTAAGCTTCAAGTGAAGGGACGAACAAGTCATACGCCTGGTAGTAAGCTACACGCCTGTCCATAACGTTGCAGTGTTACTCAGAGCTTTAAATCGTAAATATCTGAAGGGCACTGCCACTGCACCCGTCACCCTGAGACATAAGTTGACAAGTCCCATGTGCCTGTAATTTCACTAGCACCATTACCCTACTAAAACCGGAACACAGTAATGTTAAAATTACTGCTTGGCGGCAGAAATAGGTAAGGTGGCAGTATTTCCCTGATTGAACTCTTTCATAAGGAGCTCTACTGCTACTAAAGTAAAACTACTCACCACATCGTCAGTGCTGCAAGGGTAAGCCTGATAACCCTGGGCCTGGTCACTCAGGTTGGACTGTTCAGACAGCCTTCGCGCCTCTTCCTTGATCTGAACGTTAGGGTCCAGTTCCAATGCCAACTCTTCAGCTCTTACTTCTGAACAGGTCACTCCTCGAAGTAGAACGGCCTAGAAAAATAAATCGTTACAGAATTGCTGAAAAATATCTTCAAACCAATTTGTGTAGTAGAATTTAACAGTTCACTTATGGTTATTTAACATTAGGTACGTACTCTTTCTCTGGAAAAAAATAATACCTGGTTTCCTTGAGATGTTCTGACGGCTTGGACAGCAGCAAGCGCTGAGGATGGCGCTGGCGCATAGCCCACGCATGACACTTGACTAGATCTATAAACAATAGGAGACGTATTTTAGAATCACGCTACCACAAATCTTGAAACAGACTTTTTAATCTAAGAAACATTAGCAGGTCGACACATCTCGTAAAAAGCCAAATACACCCTGAGAGTCGCGCGGTTGGAGCCCCCCACCACATGATTTTATTTCGTTTGTGGTAAGGTCAGAGTGCCGGCCGAGCATCTGTCGACCTTCCTGAAGGACGAGTTTTGGCCGAAGGCTGTCATGTATTGGCGATTCCGCAGCCAGTTAAAACCTTATCACACAGGCGATTTGCGAGCAAATTGAAAGCGATGTGACAGCGCGGCGTGCACACCGTGAGCACGCTGTCGCATCGCTTTCAATCGCAAAGCGGCCGCGGCGTTGTCGCTAATGTGATGAAGCTCTTACCTGACACCAGATTGCGCTACACGTCGCCGACGAGAGCAATTGATGTAGATTAGTTATTTCATTTTTATATTACATTATTATATGTATGTTAGTCCTTAATTATGGGCCCTAGTTGCCTGATTCAAATGAATAAATAAAATTAAAAAAAGTTTGTGGTAAGTATATAAAATAAGATAGAGATATTTATTTCAAAACGCGTAAAGATGTGACTGATTAAACACAGGGAATCAAATGGAGTAATCGAGTGCTTTTTTTTTTCAAAAATATGAAGTCATTCTTGTATTTGATAAACAAGGGTGTCTTCATATTTTGCGTGCGTTGTTTTAAAAGCAGGCAGTAGTTATACCTTCGACTACTATCAGGCGACAACTGGTCGTAGACGTTGGTATGCTGTGAGACTAGTCTTGGCTGCCCGGCGACTCCAGTAGTTGTCGCCACTGCGCCCGACACTACTGAAGCTTGACTGCTCTTGCGGGATATATCCGAGGACCTGATAGACAACAAAAATGGTTGTTAATATATGCAAAGATCCGCAACAAGCACGTAGAGGAAAGCTCAGTTGGCAGTAGCCACGTTGAGGTAACAGACACTCGTTCGAGTCGTCTGATCGAAGGATTTTTTCTTTGTATTCATTTAATGAAATAGATGATTGAAAATTAAAATACGGCGGCATTGATCTACTAACGTCAATGTATAGCAGTTAATATTTAAATTTAAGACCAACACTTGGGTAGACAAACTGTACTGTACGGAGACAACTTTGGATGAGGAAAATGATGAGTACAACCAATTTGGAAAATTAACTTTTCTTGATTGATTCTGGTCTGAGTGTTCTAGATAATGCCACGGAGTGAATTCCGTTACTTATAGGGCTACCTTGTTCCATATATGTACTGTAGTTTCCAAAGAAAATAATAATAATAATAACGCACTCACTCACAACCCCGCACTAGGGAAACCCTGTATGGCTGGTGCCATGGACACACACATAGACAAACAGAAATTACATCCAAACTCACGAGAGAAATAAATGTAAGCCATACAAATATTTCTCCCAGCCCGGGAATCGAACCCGGTATTCTTTTTAACAATACCAAATGACGGGACGAACAAATTGTGCGCCTGGTGGTAAGCGACACGCCTACCCATAACAGTTGCAGTGCCAATCAGAGCTTTAAATTGCAAAAGATCTTACGGTCCCTGCCACTGCGCTCGTCATCTTGAGACATAAGTTAACAAGTGCCATGTGCCTGTAATTTCACCAGCACCTTTACCGTTCCCAAACCGGAAGGCAGTAATGCTCACGTTACTGCTTGACGGCAGCAATAGGTATGGTGGCAAAGTTCTCTGGACGAACTGTTTCATAAGGCGCTTTACTGCTAATAAAACTCTGCGTACAGTCCAGCAGCAGCTTTTGTAACCGTTAAAAGTATATAGGTGGTGATATGGTGGCAAATCTTTCCCTGATTAAGTGTATCAAAAAGAATGTTCAAGCAGAAGCTGCAAGAGTGTCTTTTAAATATGCAAAAATTGGAAATATGAGTGGCTAAGGTGTTTGAGAAAAAATAAATAAATTGGATGAAATTAAATTGGATTGAATTGAGTTAAATTGAATTGAAATTAGATTGAATCAAATTGGTTAGAATTGGAATTGAATTACATTGTTTTGTTTTGGGTTTCTACGAGTGGCATGTCCCTATAGGGTCCAGGCAGAATACCAGCGCCGCGGACAGTCGCGTCATTTATGCTGAGTCTGCGTCTTTTTATTGCCATGGCTTCCAAGAGAGATATTTGTAGAAGATATTACTGTCTTACGTCTAAGTTAATGTCTGTATCATGTGTCTGTGTATGTATTTGTCATGGTGGTGAATAAAGATTTTATCTATCTATCTATCGGTAGGCAGTTGGTAACGAACCTACTACGAACAATAACCACCGAACAATGTATGTGATCACACACATAGTACAGGAAATTCGTCACTTTAAGGCCAAGTAAGTATTGTATGGTTGTGTGGTCCATTATTTCTATTATTATGTGCACAAAGGCATTAATCATCATTCATTAATTATCACACGAGTTATCATAAAATGTGACGAGACTTTTGTCATGTCACATTCAAAAGTGTGAAATCAATTAAGTAGACCAAGTTAACGTAGCAGCTTGTGAAAGAGTTCGTCGAGGAAGTACTGCCATCATACCTGTTTCTGCCGCCAAGCAGTCATGTGAGCATTACTGTGTTCTAGTTTTGAAGGGTAAGGGTTACAGCCACATGGAACTTGTCAACTTATGTCTCAGGCTAACGGGCACAGTGGCAGTGCCTCTAAGATCTTTGCGATTTAAAGCTCTCAGTGGTACGGCAACTGTTATGAACAGGCGTGTAACCTACAATCAGGCGCACGACATGTTCGTCCCGACCCTTGATATTATAAAAAAAGACCAACGTTCATTAATTCCAAAATTGTAGCATGAAACCAGTTCATTTAGTAAATCCTAATGATTTAACGTCTAACATCGTCGGCCAAATCATCGCAAACGTCATCATAAGCATTAGAGTCTATTTTACATTAAAAAAATGTATTGTACGTACCTAGCACTATAGAGACTACTACCGGAAGAAATTCCTGAATCCCTTCTTGTGTTAGGAAGACCAGTTTTTATTTCAACTGCTACACTCGTGCTGCCTAGCTCAGTTCGACCTGCAATTCCACCTCCTGAAAACAATAGGATCATCGGATACTGATGGACAAATGTTTTTCTTTCAATTACTGTCATAACAGGAGCAGTCCTGAGTCCAGAGTCCTGAGTCCAGAGAGCAGGAGCACCTCTTATATAACCTTGGTAAAGAGAATCATTTATTTCAAACCATTTATGATCCATAATAGTGTTAGTAATTTATTAAGTACCTTTTTCTCACGTTCTAAATTTAGTAGGACAATACAACACAAATGTACCTAAAACTAAACAGAGAAAATACCACATTTAAACCACTATACTACGTATATTTAGAGCTATGCCACACGATGCCTTGCGGCGCCTGAGCGGCGATGCTCCGTTGTGCTGCATATAAATTGTAATAACATGCCACACGGGCGCTCCCGTTGCGTTGCAACGTCGCAAGGCGTGCGCATCGGACAAGGGGCCAGGAGTTGCGGTGCAATGATAAGCGGCGTTACGTTGCGGCACCGCGCCGTTTGTGTGGCACTCGGTGCATTGAAATTATAGCGTTGCGATGAAGCAACGCTGACGCAACGCACGTGTGGCATCGCTCTAGATGAAAAAGCTTTAACACTATTTAATAAGATCCGGGCAAAGTTCTCTAAAAATCATTCGTAAAGGACATTCTGTGTAATGTGGTCACCACCAATGAGTACTATTTCCGAACACGCTTCCAATGGGTAGCATTGCCATAACTAACGCATTTGTATTTTGGTAACTTTCGAGATGATGGCACTTAAAGTATTTTTTTCTTTAAAAAAATTTACCCTGATTTTACATGTAACAATAAAACTGAAACTAAATAGGATATAAAAAATCGAATAAAAAGGGGTTGTAGATCTTGTTTCGCTGATCCCAACTATGTGAGTACCTTGATTTCGGAAAAAAATGTCCATTAAATTAGTTATGATAAGGAGGACAGAATGGTTTATGAGACTTCTTACCTCCACCCATATCAGCAGCATGCGGCGGCGGCATGAGTCTGCCAACGCCCATCTTGTTACCGAACCGAGGCGTGTGATGATGAGCACGAGGTTCTCCAATGGCCACCATAGCTCGGAGCATTAAAGGCAATTGGCCTACTTCACCTACAACTTCTTGTTCCACCTGTAAATAAAGTATAAGGTGAGTACAGTAAAGCTCCTCGTGAAAGAGGTCGTCCAGGACTGTATTGCTATCTTACCTATTTCTGTCGCCAATCAGTAATATGAACATTTCTGTGTTTCGATTTTAAAGGGTAAGAGTGCTGGTGAAACTAGAGGTACAGTGCCACTGCTCCTTAGATCTTTGTGAGTTAAAGATTTAAATGGTACTGTAACTGTTATGGATACGCGTGTCGCTAACCACCGAGCGCGTGTCACTTCTTTGGTTATTGATAAAAATCATTTATGTATTTCATGTATTTAGCACCCAGGAAGATTTGTAGGTTAGGAAGGTCAAGTTATAAAAGGTACAAACCTCTCCATCTAATCTGAAATAGGGTGCACCGTTCTCGTCACTGAATCCACCAAGTCCAGAACCTCCGAAGTCCAGCTCACCACCACATTGAGCTGACAGCTGAAAATAAGGTTTACAAATTCCCCTCATTAACAACGTAATTATACTCTTCACATAAGCTGTCATCTGTTTAAAAATTGCTCTAACGAAAATGTGGTCCAGATTTTAAAATTAGGAGTCGCAAAATGCCATACACAACAAGCAAATCGACTCATCCGAAGAACAGAGTCCGATGTGATTATATAGCGAAAAGAGAATAAGTAGGTACGTTACGAGAATAATTTTCTTATTCAAACTAAGGCCTACGTAAAGATGTTTTGAAAATTTATATATCTTATTTCATTTTGGAAATATAAAATCGAGCGACAGTCGATCTGACATCCACAGTGAAGAAGAACGAACGAAATGTACTATGTCCTGAGAAAAAGTAGTCTTGCACATAGATCTTTGTTCCACGGATGAGTCGAAATATGTAATACTTACAGCTGTGTATACCTACAGGCTGTAATCGTTAAGTGTGCCCAGACACAATTGTTAAATTTAATATAAAGGGTATTAAAAAACTAATATGAAAGTACGTTAACTTCTCATTAGTAATGAGTAAGACGATATTAATAACATTTTTAAATGAAATTAGAAATATCCAAAATTTTAACGTTAAACACCCCATACATTAAATTTTATTCCTGTATACATCAAATACTTAGTCACATTTTAAAATATAAAAGTTAAAATAAATAATTTACTTTTTTACCGTCTCAAACTATCCACTGAAAAGATAAATTCAAATTGTCTAATAGTTTGTGATCCTTACCTGATGTGCTGGTGTATGAAGTCCATGAGGAATAGGAGAAGCAGGGCTCTCGCTTTTGACAGATGCAGATGATGTATGGCCTCGGACGCCCAAAGGTACTCCTCCTTCTTCAGAGCGCGGTGAGGATCCAGCCCCACCACCTCCAGACTCTGCTGAGTCGTCTCCACGACTGCATCCTGAAATATAAACATTGATGGTATGTAATTAAATGGAACTACAAGAAATGACAATTTCTTGAGGTAAGAAGAAGTCAAACTAAGTGAAACTAGGATCTATTACGAATTGCCAAAACTTACCTTTGTGTTTCTTACTGGCATAAAACTCAGCACCATGAACAGTTTTTACATGTTTCCGAAGTGACGACGGATCTGTATACCTTTTTGTGCAGCCAGGAGCTTTACATACGTAGGGTTTCTAAAAGAATGAACAGATATATATTTATATTACTAGAAATTAAATTATAGTAAGGATTGTCTGTACGATTTACAAGAACTTGGGTACGCTGTACGAGGCTTCATTATGATAACACTAATTGTTGCAGGCATCTAATACGTCACGACAGTTTTCGAACGAGAGGCTGGAGACGAAGTTCTTTAAAAAGTTAATGCAGACACTGCATCACTATCAGAATAGTATCGAAACTCAAGATTAGGGCGCTGAACGGGGTAACCTATCACAAAGTCGAAAATTTTTTGTCCGAAATAACGTTTGTTGGAATTTTCATTACACCGATAACCGAAAAATAACGAAACAGTTGTTCTTTCAGGATATGTTGACTGTTTTGTTTATCGTAAAGACACGAGTTAGGTTCGGTTAAGTTAGGTTTAAAAGAAAAAAACATTTTCCTAACAAAATGACCAAACGTTATTTCTGGAAAATGTCATTTCTGACTACTGATAGGTAACCTGTCACGATAGACAGTCGAGATATGGAACCAGCCTGGAAGCTGTTGCTTCCACTGCACTCTAGCAGACTTCCTCTCTTTTTCCGCATTATGTTTAATATATTTAAGGGCGAATTACCATTATGTCGTAACATTTTATTTATTGTTGAATGGCTTTTGTCGTCGCGCCCTTAAATATGAAAAAGAAACCTTCCCAAATCTGTTTTATTAATGCGCAGAAAGAGAGGAAGTCTCCTAGATAGGTTCAATAAGCTAAACGACACACGTGCATCTCGGTGACCGAGCCGCTGATGTTATACTTTTAATTGTTATTATTATACTAACATAGTTATTAAGGCTTTTATTTACCAACGATCTATGGACCATTAGGTTGTCTAGATAGATATTTAATTTTATCTTTATGTTATTTAATAATTCTTTTCTGTCCTGAGACAGTAGGTAAATAAAATATTAAACAACTTACTTCGTTACTATGAGTCCTATTCTGATGTTTAGCTCGATCACTAGCGTTGGAGAAAGCCTTAGCGCAGCCAGGAACTTCACAAGTGTACGGCTTTTCCCCTGTATGACTGCGGAGATGGGTTTTCAGGTTCTCTAGACGAGAATACGCTTTGCAGCAGCCTTCAAACTAAAAAAAAAAGATTAATTGTAAATCTACTTATTTATGGAGATTTTTTTGTGAAACAACTCCACTAGTTTTCTTATGATTATGAATTCAAAGATCGAACACACAGAAAAATTTTCGTCGACCCGGTGGGACTTGAATCCACGTCCATGCTGCACCGTAGCATTCCTCTAGCTACGGGTCCAGTTATCGAGCGGTCGAAATTCTCCTATGTGTTTTTGTTATAGATCGTTGTACTGAATTTTCGGCATTCGTCGCCGCTAGTGACATCTAGCGAGAGATTTTTGAATAACCTTCTCTTCGCAGCCGATACCTAGTAAACCTACTTATAAGTAACGTTACATATCATGTCTTAACTGATGATGGTACTTACAGTACATTTATGAGGTTTCTCCCCAGTATGTCTCCTCATGTGAACAACCAGCATATACTGAGCTTTGAAAGGTTTTTCATCACGAGAGCAGCCGACCCAGCGGCAGACGAAAGCTTTTTTGCTCGCGTGGATGTGGTCCGTGTTTATGTGTTTTACCAGGTCATCTTGTGTTGGAAATTCAAGCTTGCAGTCCACCTGGAAGAAAAATTTTGGGTAAAATAGGAAAGGATTTTTATCCAAGATTTTAATAATAATAGAACTATAGAGTTCTTAGGTTTTCGCGATTGTTACACATAGGAAATTAAAGGATTTTTCCGGATTTAAATCGCGTATATTTGGTTTTTCAAACAAACCGACGTTTCGGGCCCTTTACAGGTCCCATGGTTACGGTTGACTGAGGTGGTAAAGTCTTCAACCAATTATGTCTAATATTAATGTAAACCACCCTATTTTTTCACTACAGTTACAATAGTTATTAATTAAATGCCTTATTTTTAATTTTACGAAGAAAACATTCCAATTTACTCTACATTAAGTTTTACAAATTATTTTATTGAATGAATTTTTCGTTAAGTTCAATTTATTATTAATTAATAATAGAAATTAGAATGAACTAAAACATATTAATTAGTACTGCAGTCTTATGTTTGTTTGGGATTTTTCATCAGAGGAAATACTGGATCCCAAACTGCTGGTATGGAGAAACCATCTTCCTTGTTGAAATTAGGATGTTTTTTAATTTCAATGGCCTCTCGCAGCATCCTGGGTAGATAACGGACTTCTTTTGCAAGGACCTGGGGTTTGTCAAACTTCGTTGAATGTGTAGGTTTATCCATGACATGCTCACAGACTGCAGACTTGTTTGAAAAAACAAATATACGCGATTTAAATCTGGAAAAATAGTTTCATTTCCCAAATAAAAGAGCTCCTAATGAAAGAGTTCATCTAAGGAAACATTTCCCCTTTGCCTATTTCTGCCGCCAAGCAATAATTTGAACACAACTGCGTCCCGGTTTTGAAAAGTAATAGCGCTGGTGAAATAACAGGACTTATCCACACTACGTTTCAGGGTTAATTATTTTTGCTTTTTAAAGCTATGAATGACACTCTTATCTCTGGCGTGTCGTTTACCATCAGGTACATGACTTGTTCGTCTGGTAAATGCATAGGCATCTCGATGCATCCATCGACTGCCAGCAGCTCTTCGCAAATCGTCACTCCATCTGGCCATAGGGTGTCCTACACTACGTTTTCTCCACTCAAGAACGCGCTTCCCTCATCGGTATTCGGTTCTTCGACGGATATGGCCAGCCCACTGTCACTTCAGCTTGCTTATTCTACCAGCTATGTCGACGATCTTAGTTCTTTGTCAGATAACCTCGTTCCGTGTCCTGTCCTTCAAAGAATCTCCGAGCGTGACTCGTTCCATAGGTCGCTGAGCAACTTTCAACTGATGAACTAACCGTATCGTCTCGGCTCCGTACGTCATAAAAGGTAGAACGCACTGATTAAAAACCTTTGTTTTCAAACTTTGCGGTATGGGTGACGAGAAGACTCGACGTATTTACCAAACACTGCGCAGCCAAGCTGAATCCTCCTCTTGGCTTCCCTTTCGAAGTAGTTTCGACCCAATCGCAAAATCTGCCCAAGGTAACAATGTATTTGGAAAATGTATTAAAAAAATGTATTCCAAAACAACTTCAAGAAGGTGGCCATTTGCTACGATTGGTCTTGGGACAATATGATCATTGACCATGACTTTCGTTTTATCCAAGTGACCACATAAGAGACCAATCCGTTGCGAGGCGGATGCTCTGCTGTCCAGCATTTGTTGTAGCTCCTCCAGCTATTCCGCCATTAGGACTATGTCATCTGCGAATCGCAAGTGTGAGATGTATTCGCCGTTTATTTTTATGTCCATCCTTTTCCAGCCCAGCGTCTTAAACATGTCTTGCAATGCGGCTGTAAACAGTTTCGGGGATATGACATCCCCCTGTCGAACTCCTCTGCGTAATTAGATGGGCTAAGATTGCTGGATAAGAAAGTCCACTTGGCATCGCTGTAAGGATTCCAAGACAGCCCAGGTCTCGACGGAATCGAACGCATTCTCATAGTCCACAAAGGCTAGACATAGGGGCTGTTTATACTCTTCTGTATAATCAGCCTCATTGTGTGTATGTGATCTATAATGCCGTATCCCTGTCTAAACCCAGGCTGCTCCAGTGGCTGAAACTCGTCGAATCTTCCGGCAAGACGATTCGTAATGACTCTAGAAAACAGCTTGTAGACGTGGCTCAGGAAAGAGATGGGCCTGTAGTTTTTAAGTAGACATTTATCTCCCGTTTTAAAGAAGAGAACTATACTATCTTATGTTCCACGCCTGAGGAATTCACAGTAGATAACAAAGTTAAAGAGCTTCCGAAGTTCTTTTATAACAGGGACTCCTCCAGACTTCAGAAGCTCTGTAGTAACTCCGTCTTCACCTGGGACTTTTCCGTTTCGGAGCTATTTTAGAGCCAATACGATCTCGTCTTGGTTGATTTCTGGCAATTCGTCAGAGTAGTGGCCTATGAGGGTAACTCTGGGCTCATGGTTGTCGCGTTGGTCACGAGGAGCATGTGCAGCGTACAGCTGGCCGTAGAAGTGTTCAATCTCGGCGGGAATCGCCGGCTTTGACGTTACAATTCGAGCATTCTGTGTTATGAGCTTCGTCAGGTGGCTCCTTCCAAGCAGCTGAGTGAATACTTTGGATCCTACGGTTTCGTTCTATCGTCTCCTCAATGAGGCGAGTATTAGAAGTCCGAAGGTCACGCCGTACCATCTTCGCAATATGCTTATTTAGATCTTACCGCTCTGACGAAGTGTCCTAAGTTACTTCTCGTCTTTTTGTCATGAGCCGTAGAGTTCCTCGTCATTGTAGCCTTGTAGAGTTTCTGGAACTTCTCTGAGCCCTCCATGGTTTGGAGTGGATTAGGTCGGAGCGTGGACCTCACCAAGCGACTTCTTTCAAGCTTGAGATCGATATTCAGAGAACCTCGTACAAGTCGTTGATCAGATCCAGTATTAAACCTGCTGATCACGGAAACGTCTCTGAATATGTGCTTTTTGTCCGCCATGATGAAGTCTATCTCATTTTTAGTCACATTATCGGGGCTTTGCCACGTCCACCTCCTTTGGAGCTTCTTCCGAAAGAATGAGTTCGTCAGGAAGAGCCGCTCCTTTTCGAGGGAGTTGACCAGCATCTGACCCCTGTGATTCTTACCTCCATAACCATGTGAGCCAACTTGGGATTCGCCTAGATTCTGGAGTCCCACTTTAGCATTAAAATATAATGCAACGGAAAATAGAAATCATAGCAAAGATAGAATCAGGCAATTTTGGTTATATCTCAATTGTAATTTTAGTTTAAGCTCGGATTTATGTTTTAGTGAAGATGTAGAGACATAAAAAATAATTAAAGATCTAAAACTTCCCCTGGTCATATTTAATAGTCTCCGTTTACGATTAGACCATGGTCTTTTTAAATCTTTTTTTAAGCGACACGCCTGTCCATACCAGTTAGCAGTACCACTCAGAGCTTTAAATCGTAAAGATCTAAGGGGTACTGCCAATGCGCCCCTCACTCTGAGACTTAAGTTTACAAGTCCCATGTGCCTGGTGGAAATTATCACCAAAAGCTTCTCCTTGTTCTTCTCAAACTTCCCCTGGTCATATCTAATAATCTCCGTTTACGGTTAGACCATGACCTTTTTAAATAACGCAGAAAAGAGTTCTTAACAAGATTTACCCAGTGACAATTGGTCTCAATAAAGTCTCCCGGCTCGTCCTTCGAATCCAGGCCATCGTGAACGGTGCTCTCAGCTGCGGCAGACAAGGGCTTGTTGCTGTGGTGATCTCTTGACATCAGACTTTGTGGTGATTTTCGCTGGGTTAACGCTGTTGATGCGCTGTGGGACAATACAAAAAAACCCTTATTAATTCATTTTATTGGGGTCATAATCTTTTTGTCCTGAGATCGAAAAAAGTGATCACGTTTGGTAATGTTTATTAAAAATAAAAACAAGTTTTCTAATTACAGATGAATTTTTAATTTCGGCAAATAGTAAATTTTATGGATCGATCTAAAAAGGATTTTACCTATCAGCTTCCATGATACTAGTGACTTCAGGATGCTGAGGAGGCTGCTGCAAATGCGAAGGTGGTGTTCCATCTAGCCCAAGGCCTGGCCTGACGTCCACTGGTCCACCCATTAGAAGTTGCGTCGGTGAGGATATGTGTGATCTGAAAAATGAAAATTAGAATTAAAATAGAATTCTAACTTAAGAAATTGGCTTAAGGCAGTCAGACAGTTTTTCCCGCTTCTCATCCTGTGACTACAGGAGGAGAAGCGAGAATAACTGTTTTGCTATATCAAATCTTTTAGGTATTTACTATTTAATAATGGTCTTACAAAAAATATACCATATACCCATTGACTTGCAATTATATGGACGTCGGGTCCGCGCTAAAAAGTGTCCGAACTTATAGGGCGTTAAAATCGTATACAGAGCGTCATTCACGCTTTAGTCTGCGTTTGTTCGACTGACAGCGAAGCAAGCAAAATAAGACTGTACTGCGATGACATTACAATTTAAATTCAACGTTTTTGCTTTGTCATATTCCTTTATATGTCACTACGTTTAAATAGGTTGACTTGGGACATTTTTTCTTGGTTTTTGTATTAGACCCGTCGTCCATTTATTTGTAAGTCAATGCATATACCTACGGATATTGTCTAAAGAATGTGCTAATTCGTTACACGATAGGATATACTTTACCCGATCATATAACATCCTGAAAATATGATAAAATGAAAGTCAACAACTAATTATTTAAGAATAAAATAACTAACTTTGTACATAATTTTTATGTGGAGATATTTCTCTTGAAGTACTACAGAGAACCTGCTAAATTTTGGTTTTCAACTGAAGCTATATAGTTATTAATTTCAGATTAATCCCAAAATTTGAAATTTTCCCAGCGGTACACGCCGCGCCGCTCGTTGCCTCGTCAGTCGCCATCGGGCGCTTGTCGACGGATCTATGTCAAATTTTCTCCGCCTGTTCTTTATTTTATTCGGATTAATATACAGCGCGTGGATTGCGGGTCTTCCTTCCGACCTTCACACCTCACCTCCTAAAACCTAGGCTCGCGTTGAAATAACTCGCCTTAAAGAAGAGTAGGTTACAGTCACATTCTCCATCCACATCATCGTCATCCATTGTAATACATTTCAGTTATAATATTTTCCTTGTTTACATAAATTCACTTCAACAAGATACTGCAATGCTCACCTATGAATACCAGCAACCAGATGCGCATGCGCGGCATGATGCGCAGCTGCAGCCGCAGCCTGCTGGTGCGCAGGATCCAACAGTACTCCACCTGCGAGTACTGCGCTACCTCCCACCCCAGCACCACGCGCCAACAGCTGCTGGGCTAGTGATGCGTGGGAGAGAGAAAGCGCTGGTGATATTGCTCCTGAAAATAAAAAGATATTATTGCTCTTGTTACATGGACGTAAACCTTTTTTGACCAGCTTAATGCGTGGTAACAGTATTATGAGAATATTCAAACCTAAAGAGACAGATTAACTCTACATTCGGATAGCCCAAATGTCATGTCCATAAAAAATTATAACAAACCGCCTAATGTATTGAAAAACGAAACCAATGATAGATTTTTTTTTTAAACTAAACTAAAGACTTATTAATAAATAAATGTTTTCCTGATTGGAATCTTTTAGCAAAAATGTAAATTTGAAAACAGCCTAATTACTCTCTTCCCTTCTACTTCGTTGTGCCCAAGAGGGTCCATGTTCTGTTCTTTGTACTATGGTACCTTGTATACCAATGTGGAATGCAAATAAACATATTGAATATTGAAGTTCTATGAAGTAATACGGCGAACACTTAGCCCCCCAATTCCCTACATGCAGACTAATTCCTTGAATGCTAAAACTCGGCACATCGTCGACCTCATCAGGTAAAGAATATATCGAAAATGGAAGTCAAATGCGCACTTATTATTTTATTTAAATTCCCTTTAAATTTAAAATCAAAAATTTAGTGTTGTTCAATCAATTAAGACAGCTTGGTGTACTTATTATCTAACCTGCAAGTCTCTTGTATTTCTTTCGTTGCATTCTACGACAACTTCGCAATCCAACCACCAATATGCAGCGGTTCAACTGTACCCCAGAACTACATTGTGCTATAGTTATATTAGTAACTTTTATTAACTTACCAGCACTAAGATGTCCATAGCTTCCAGTGGAAGCAGCTGAAGGAGCCCTAACAGCAAGACTAGCTGGAGATGCTCTGATCACTGCAGCCAAGTCTAGCGATTCCGCGGAATATGGACTCCAAGAAACTGCTCGCTTTCTATTCACTGAAGCACCAATGGCTCCTCCTGATAGCCTGAGACGAGTTGGTGATGCTATCCTTGAACCTGAAAATATTTTATTTTTCGTGATAAGAAATTGAGAACATTGTATGACAAGAAAGTATTTTATTTTAGTAGCTGTAGAGCTCCTTGTGAAAGCGTTCGTCCAGGGAAGTACTGCCACCTTACCTATTTCTGCCGCCAAACAGTGATGTCATCATTACTGTGTTCCGATTTTGAAGGGCAAGTGTGCTGGTGAAATTATAGGCAAATGGGACTTGTCAATTTATGTCTCAGGGTGACAGGCGCAGTGGCAGTGCCCCTTAAATCTTTGCGATTTAAAGCTCTAAGTGGCGTTGCAACTGTTATGGACAGGCGTGTAGCTTACCAACAGGCGCATGACTGGTTCGTCCCGCCACTTGATATTATAAAATACAAAAATAAGTATTTGCTTCAATTCTTTTCATTAGCAGAACCGTGCTCAACAGTGGTACTTATTTATGTTGATATAGATTATTATATTTGTCGACATTAGCGGCGGTTTGTATTGTGGGCTCTGAATAAGGAGGGTTCAATGTCCGGTGAGATCAATTTGAGATCATATTAATCAAAATATTTAAGTAAATATTTTTTTCTTCTTCTTATCATGTCGATCATATACAATATAGTGCTTGCCACCATGGTAAAAGGATTTGACAAAGTTGTAAATTAATAATGTTTTTTCTATGATACCACGTGACAGGGCGAACAAGTCGTGCGACTGGTGTTAAGCGACACTGCTACTGCGCCTGTCACTCCGAGCCGTAAGTGGACAAGTCTCATATGCCCGTAATTTCACCAGCACCCTTTCCCTTCAAAGCCGGAACGCAAAAATGCTCACATTATTGCAGTTTCTCTAAGTTTTTTATATTACAAATCTTGGGAATAGATTGAAGCATGTAAAGATGGTTATAAGGTGTCCATAAAATGTTAATACATAGTATAGTCATGAATACCAATTATGAAGTTACAAAATACATGTTTCAGAGCTATGGTTTAGTGACACACTACTGCTTGGCGGCAAAATTAATTAGGTGACAGTACTTCTAGGCGGATTCTTTCACAAAGAGCTCTACTGTTTAAATGTTTATTGAATTTGATGTTCAATCATTTTCTATGTGAAATTACTCCACTAGTTTGTTATAATTATTAATACAAAGATCGAACACTCAGAAATAATTCCCTCGATCCGGACGGATTCGAACCAACGTCTTCTAGCATACCGTGCCAGACGCTATACCAACTTAGCCACGGAACGAACCAGCGGACCTCAAGAATTTTTCTATGTCCTTGTTGTCGTCTCTTTGTATTTGGTTTTTTCAACGACTTTTTAGCCTGGCACGGTATGCTAGAAGACGTCGGTTCGAATTTGGCCGGATCGAAGGGATTTTTTCTGAGTGTTTGATCTTTGTGTTAATTATCATAACAAGCTCTACTGTTACTAAATAAGTATGTAGAGTGAAATAGAATATGTTTTTTTAAATAAGGTACCAAAATTAATAATTTTTGTAACTATAGTTCCTGAATAGAATGATTTCCAATAATATTAGACATAACTGGTTGATGACATCATTAGCCGTGACCACAGGACATAAAGACGTCCTAATCATAACTAACGCAATCGACATTTTAGTGAAACTGAGTTATTAACATGTTTAGGATCAGAGAAATGATGTACCTAACTTTAAAACATAATAACACGTTCAGCTACGCGATTTTGTCGTACATTATTTATGCGATGAAAATTCATTGGTACATTTATTCTTACTATGGTTGACATTAAATTGACAATGTAATAAAAATAACTAATTTTGTTTATTAAAACTGATTTGTTATAGTTCAACTGTTTTCCTCGCTATAGTGAGGTGAAAAGTTGTGTGTTTCGTTCGGCAGCAAAGTTGTTTTCGTCTCGTGTCTTGAAACCCTCGCTACGCTCATGAATCTATTTTTGAACCTGCTTCCTTCGCTTGTTCAGGTTTCAATACAAGCACTCGCATCAAATAACAACTGCAGCCTTGCATAACAAGTAACTACTTAGGTGATAAAAAACTTTTAAGTGCCAATATCTGAAAGTTCCCGACATGCGTTAGTTATAATTAGGAGTGTATCAGAGTGTGTCAAGAGCCCGGATCGTTGGTTTATTCGAAAAAAAAAAAAACAATGCGCGATTTACATTCGTAAAAGTTATCCAGTTGTCTTTTTCATACTTCAATTCCGGTTTTTATCTTTGGAACGCTCTTCCCATTACTATTCATGATAGTAAATCCTTAGCAATTTTCAAAATGAGAGTTAACATGTACTATTTATCGACAGTTCCATCCATTTTATAGATATTATAGTACAAAATATGTATTTATCTAAGTATTTATAGTTTTAATAATTTCATGTTTATGATATTGTTTTTTTATTACATATTTTTAACCGACTTCAAAAAAAGGAGGAGGTTCTCAATTCGTCTGATTGTTTTTTTTTTGTGTGTATGATACGCGACAACTACGCCATTTGTGAACCAATTTGGTGATTCTTTTTTTGTTGGAAAGAAGGTACCTCAGATGTGGTCCCATTTAAATTTCAAGAAAATATTCCACCTCTCAGGGATGAATGACTATTGAGGTGGGTTTTTTAACCGGAGGTTAGATTATTTGTTTTATTTCTGTACACAGAAGACAAAAAACAACGGAAAATGCCTTAAGCCTCGATTACTACCAGCAGGCTGTTTTTAATCGGAATCGATCCGATCGGGTAGCCCGCCCGAGTCTCGAAATCAGATTGGTTTCCGAGCGAGAAGATGTACCTGATTCCTACTATATCTTGCTAATTTGTGAGTTAAATCAACTATTCTTCCGATTTAAAATGTCTGATCGGCCAGTTGTGAATTGCAATTATGCACCTCGACTAGGAAGAGTCAATCAAAATCAAGCTTCAGAATCGGTGTCGCAAACTCACACATTCTTAATTTGGAACACTACAAAATCTTGTTATAGGAAATAACAAATTCTGGATTGTTAATATAATTTAAACTTTATCCTGTTGACAAATCGTTGAAAGTTCAATACCATCAATACCTATTATTACAAGTTACGACTTTTTGATATTATATTGAAATTTCAATCAATGTGCTGCCATCTAGCGGTTAATTGGTGAACGACGACGAATTGGAGTTTTTAATTTAGTTCTCCAAAAAAGAAGCGACCATATTATAGTGGTTTATGTAAGCTTTACTTTCGTTTCTTATAACAAAAAAATATTGAAAATGTATTAAAATAAAACTGTCCGATGTTATGAAATACCACCACGGGTACTATTTTTGGTGCTATCATTTTTGCACTCCAAAATAACACAATAAGGCTTTTTTTCTATGATTTTAGAGAATTTGCACGAAAGAACATAACCATACCAAGAAGGCAAAAATGGCGAACTGAGCTCAGATAGGTCTTTGAGAACTTAGTTGGCACGCGTCAGACGCTAACAAACCACTTCTACTGCATTTATTGTTCTGTACTCCTGTTCGGCAGGAAGAAATTTCTGTCAGAAATAAGCAGTAACTTTTGGTTGTTTTTTCCTGTGCAACGAGTGATTAAATAAATAAATAGTTTCATTTGTAATGTGTAGCACTTGGGAAACCCTAAGAACTCCATAAAGTAAATATAGTTCTTGGTGAAATAATGAAATTCGCAAAAGCACAAAAGTAGCAAGAATTATTTCACTCTGCAAGTACACTCGTAAAACTTAACGCGATACTGGAAAGCTATTAAACTTGCCATCCTTGTTTCTTGAAATACCTTTTGAGAGGCAACAAAGACTGTATAAGTACTTGCTAACGATATGAGCTTGCTGATAGGGTTCGTTTTGTTGGATAAAATACACTCCGCCTACTTTATACGATATGATATATTTATGGCCTTAACTCTAAGGGCCGACAAAAGAGTAATTGCGTCCTGAGATATGTAAAAAAACAGTATCCGTTATCAATTTTCCTTTAGCACTTTGACTTCTTTACTTTAATTGAATGTTCCACTCTGTATATTCAAGGATTATGTTTGATGCATTACATAGATAATACTGGTTATTTTTTAATACACTATATAATTATAATTATAATAAACAACTTTTTGTGCTACGACACAAGGTATAACACAATAAAAATAGTACGAATCGAATTTAACCGATTTCAAAAAGGACAAGGTTCGCAATTCAACTGTATTTTTTGTGTTGGTATGCGATTTTTGTTGGAAAACGAGGACCTCAGAATACTGAGGGACCAACAGGTCCCATTTAAGTTTGAACAAGATAACCTCTAAGGGTTGCAAACTAGGGGATGATTTCGGTTTCACGTACTTTCCGGTAACCGATAAAACTTGGTAAATAGAAAAAGGTATAATTATTAATGGTGCAGTAATTAGAAATTAAGAGTTAATTAATATAACCATTACGTTAGTTAGTTTAGCATTAAAAAAGTTGACGTTCAGTTGATTAACCTGCTTACTATGTTACATTTTATACAATCCACAATACAGACCTCTTTAGGTAAGTATATCAGGTTCAACTATGCTACTAAAATAAATTATAGCTGGACTAAATGTTTACGAAGTCATTTCTTCCTTACCTTCTAAGCTAAGCTGGAAATCCTGACTGGCTAACGTACTTCCAGCATGAAGCTCCGGATGTAGACTCCTTGCAGCACTTAGATATTCTAGCCCTACAACAAACAGACAAATATAATTTAGTAAATCAGTAACTTCGGTATAATTGAACCATAATTGCTTCGAAGAAGGTTCACCAGCCCTTGGGAATTGTGTAAAATCAGCGTGGCGGACTATGAACTAAATCATCGCTTGACAGGAGATCCATGCCCAGCAGTAAGAAGTATAAATGGGTTAATGTTGATGACTTTACTAACAATTAATCTGCTCATAAGTGTGTATAAGTATCCCTATAATACACTGCACGATTAAGAAGTAACTGCGGTGTGTAAGATTCCAATTCCTGGTTCGTCTCCGAGTCATTCGCGCGCTTTTAATTTTCTGATCCCCTTCTCAATACAAGTCTCATTATGTTTTTCTAACCCATCAAAGACGGCACCTGCAGCGGCGATTAATAGAGGTGGTATTAAAAAATGGAAATTACCTAATCGATGATCCATTCGATCAATCTCGATCAACGGATCCAATCTGCGCATGCGGCTCACGATCGGCGATCTAATGATCGAGCGGTTAGCTCCCGCAATGATTAACATAGCAAACAAGATCGTCCTGTGGGAACATGATCTTTGTAATGAAGTACAAACGCATTTGTATAAGTTTTCCTTTAAAGATATTTATTTATACATTTTTTGTGAAAGTATTCCACTAGTGCGGATACAAAGCCCGAACAAACTAATGAAAAATCTCTTAGATCCGGCTGGACTTGAACTTACCTATAAAGTTTCGAACGGAGCATCTTTTCGTTAACGGACTTTGAGAGTTGTTCCGTAATTAAGTCATTCATGGTGGAAAAAAGAAAGGAATTTTGTACTTCGGGGGTAACGCCCCTATGCGCCTAATACTATGAAGATTTAATAATAATAATAACGCACACACTCAACATAGCCCCGCACTAGGGAAACCCTGTGTCGCGGGTGCCATGGACACACACATAGACAACCACAAATTACACCCAAACTCACGAGAGAAATAAATATAGGCCATACACATATTTCTCCCGGCCTGGGAATCGAACCCAGGACCTCTGCATGGCAGTACGGCATGGTAACCGTTCGGCCACGGAGGCAGTCAAAAATTTTTTTTAATCTCAGTTTTAAGATAATAACTAAGTAGGTAATTCAGAATGTTTTTTGAGTGGCAATAGACGAACTAAGAATGTTAATAAAAGTATCCAATAATGGATACTGAATCTCTATTTTCATCGCACTTGCTCGAAAATATTGGCATGACAGAAAGTCGACCGTAATGTCCTAAATTAGGCCCACGGGCTTTTATTACATTATCGCCCTATGGATTTTTTACGTCAAGATTAGGCAAAAAGTTTTTACGCTCGAAAAATCTGAACGTATATTTGGCGTAAACTTGAAGTATAAAAAAACTAAACATTTGCAATTAAACTATATTTTACTAAGTTTAAGAGAGAGCATGCCAAAAAAGTTTTGACATTGGCTCCGCCCAAATTTGTGAAACAAATATATGCCTGAAGTTCGCGTGACATGCGACAGGAGATGTTGAATTTTGTGCATTAAAAGTACCAAATTCGTTTTAGCGGAATAACTCTAAAACTAAAGGGATTCAAAAAATCCGTAGTGACGGTTGTCGATCATGAAAATTAGAGGTCATTTCGTGATTTTTGATCGTTTTATGCTTCTGATTAATGTCTATGCTTGAACATATCGTCTAGTTACTCATACAACATTTTATTTTTAACTTTAAGTTTAAACCCCTCTAAATTCAAATCGAAGAATAGGAATTTTTCCTCTGCTTCTGCTGTATTGATTTTAGAAATTATTTGTTTCATATCTAATACATTGTGGCTGCAAGTGTCTGTGCCTTTGATAACATTTTAGTACGAGTCGTATTGTATATGGAAGAATAGCCGATAACCTGTTTTTTTTTTAAATACTAACTCTAGGCATTAAAGCACTCAGCCTTCGGTTTCGGGCTTATAACAAACTCTCGTTGGTAATTTCTTATGTACCGCCCAATACACAATGTCCTATTATCTTAAGTAAATGTTGTTAGAAGACATTTTTGCTTAACGAGGGCTAAATTACAAGAGCATTTATCTATTGTGTATTAATCAACCAGCACAAAGCATTAAGTAGGTACTTTGTATTCTCTCACGTGTCGTGTTGACGTCTCAATATCTACGCCTGAGGTGACTAACACTCTTTAGAGATGTTTAAGAGGCTGCAAACCTGTTTATGGAGTTTATGGTTTTTAATATTGCTTATAATCCCTTCCATATAAAATTAAGTACGCCTGTGTACGCATGGGTTTAAAATCTTCATTTCTTTATTGTCAGTAGTTGTCAATGGTTTTTAGTAACATTAGAACAAGAGTTTGTCCGCGGAAGTACTGCAGTCATACCGATTCCTGTCGAAAAGCAGTAATATGAGCATTCTTTATGGTGTTTCAAGGTGTCGGGCGCAGTGGCAGTTGAAGCTCTGAGTGGTAACGCAACTGCTACGGATAGGCGTGTGCTTACCACCAGGCGCACAACTTGTTCGTCTTACTTGGGTATTATAAAAAAAGAAGACAAAGTATAAAATACTATACAATAATTCCGGGATTTCAGAGGAATGTATTAACCACTCCATGTAATAATGTGCCAAGCAACCACTCCAATTGCCTGGGTTCATACTAGAGAATTCCCAGCACTATGAGTACCAGAACAACGGAATTCACTCAGGGGCAAAAGTTCATTTCCCAACGAACCCGTGAATCAGCGCCCACGGCATAAGCCGTTGAGCCACCATGACATCCTGGAAGTTCAAGTAAATATACTCTTCCTATTCGGATCTCTAACTGTAATACACAACGACCTATTAAAATCTTTGTTTATGATACCTAGTGACGGAATGAGAAAGTCGAGCGCCTGGTGGTAAGCGACACGCTTGTCCATGACAGTCGTAGTGCCGCTCAGAGCTTTTAAATCGCTTTTTAATCTGCCAGTGCGCCCCTCACCCTGAGACGTAGGTTGAAGAGTCCCATGTGCCTGTAATTTCACCAGCACCCTTACCATTCAAAACCGGAACGCAATAAGGCGGTGCATCCCTGGATCCCTTTAATACGTAACGTAAGTTGACGGTCATCTTTAAGAAATTATATCACAAAGTTACAATTTACATTAAGAGGACTCGCGTAAGTCGTCACCTAATTTAGTCCTAAACGATGTAATTAAATTTGCGTTCCAACAATGTAGCAGTCGTATTTTGCGTTTTCGTACTCAATGTCTGATTTTATTACGTGCCTTGTAAATTACACTGTCAACGAATTTATTATACTTGCCGCTATAAAAATCGTTATTCTGAATTAAATTATAGAGAACGAAGATAACATAAGCGGATGTTGTAAGATTTATTTTGAATAAAAATTGTTGTAGGAAGGCAGCAGTTAATACGACAAATTAATGGACTGACTGAGACCCAAGGGTTGGCAGCTACCTTTCGTAACATATTAGCATAGTATAATAAAATAAGTAAGTCAACTTCTGCCTGTTCGGCGCATCAATGCCTGTAATAACATTGGTGGCAGTAGAGCTCCTTGTGAAAGAGATCGTCCAGGGAAGTATTTTTGTTGTGGTTTAGAAGGGTAAAGGTTGCTGGTGACATTACAGGCACATGGGACTTGTCAACTTATGTCTCAAGGTCACGGGCGCAGTGGTCGCAGTGCCTCTAAGATCTTTGCGATTTAAAACTCTGAGTGGCAATTGTTATGGATAAGCGTTTAGTCTTACCACCAGGCGCACGACTTGTTCGTCCCGTCACTTGGTATATAAAAAAAATGCGACGTAGGGTTGTCACTTTACTTTTTAGTTGTACCTACAGTTTGGAGATATAATTAAAACCCTTATTACACTAAACGAATTCAAGGGACGCTAATTCTAGTGTAGGTAGGCGTAAGAATAGTTAGGGTCCCTAACATGGGCGACTTATTAGGCTCTGACCTAGTCTTAACGATAGTATTAGAAGGGCTCGGTCCACATATATTTATTAGCAGAAGAAATAAAAGGAAAAGAAAAGGGAAAGGGAGAGGGCTTATTTACGTATATATATCCAAAAATGCTTTAAAAATTGCCTCGAGTCTGGGTGTTTGTGGTATCTAAGTACCGTCGTTGTGTCCGATTTCTATACCACAAGTGTTTTAGTTACTTACTTTTGGGATTGGAGCAACATGTTGTCTAATATTTCTTTATATTTATAAGCATAACAAGAAACACGTCTACTATTTAATGTCATCTTTAAATAATGAGAGAACGCTTCAATTCTATAACGTATGGCGCATGTGACGACCCGTGCTATACAACGTTAGAGCAGCGTTCCTTCCATTCTTCTGCAGCACCACATCTCAAAAGCTATAAACCTTGGCCCGTAGGATCTTAGTGCACTTCATCTGTACAAAATTTTATCCAACAAATTAATGGACTGTCTGATAAACCCAAGGTAGCTACCTTGCCCAACGCATTAGCATAGCAATACAAAGGGGGAACGTTGCCAGCATCTTGGGCACCTTGCCACGGGGACCCAGTTTATTAACACAATTTAAAAACCCTAGTTTTACTTTCTAGTGTTTAAGCTTTTATTCTCTTTTTTACCTTACCTGTATATTTTAAAAATAAAAATAAGTAAAGCTATAATTAACATTATAATATAACTATATTGTTGATTTTAGAACTATCTTGGACAAAACAAAAAAGCTAATATTAACAATAGAGGATTAGGAACAGGAACGAAAAATGATAAAAGTAGAAAAAAACATAATAAAGATCGTGATCCAAGAAATTTTACACAATTAATCAAAATACCTGGCCATAACGATGATAATTTGGTCTTATATTTCCATAATAATCACGTATCTGATACCTTCGAAAACAAACACGTTGCGGGTCAAAGCAAAAAAAGGACAAAACGGTTTAGATTTGTTGATCACGCTTCTCCGGTGTTCGAAGCGGTTGTTGCCAAAAATAATAGGTTAGGCCACAAGGCGTCAG